AATATTGATACATGTATATGTTTCAGGATAATTACCGGTAATAAATAAGCAGTTTCAATGTTCTCAAACATCAGCTTTGAGGTTCATATACCTATATGAACTTGTTACTCCTTCTGGACCTTGAACATCCACCCTTCTGACAACATTTCTCAACTGATACAAACTTCCTCTACTGCAGCAGACTTAAGGCTATAAAACTGCTTGTAAATGATCTGAAATAGTTAATAAAAACACTTGTCAACAAAATTTATACACCATTCAAGTTTTGTGAAAAAAATAATAAATTACCTAATATTTAACTTACATACTTTATTATTTTTGCAATTATACTTTTCTTACAAAGATGTAATTTATATTATTAGTAGTTAATTATCATAATAAATTTTTTCCAGATTGTCTTATTTGAAAAAAAATCAATACACAACTACTGAAGGTATATATAATACATGTACTTTAGAATGCACATGCATAAATTTAAGCTAGAATCAGAAAATATTTTAGGTTATATATGACTGTACTTCTATACATGTACATGTATATATTTTCTATACAGTAAAACTTGGTTAGAACAAAGTCACTTGGGCCTATGAAATTACTTCACTATATCTATAATTCGTTATATTCATATAAGTAGAATTCATAAAGTTGGTGATAAAAAAAACTTCGCTATATTCGTGAATTCATTATATCCGTGTTCGTACTAAACAAGTTTTGCTGTATATCAATACAGAAAAAAATTTACTACTGGCTACCCTGAATACTTGTGGTTAGTAAAATACGACTAATTTTAAAATAGAACTCACTTCGAACAATATAATTTTAGTAAGTAAAAACATTCCAAATGGAGGATAACATCTGGCCAAATTACAACAAAACCAAACAAGGAACTGTAACTGCTGACAAGAAATACCACAAGGAAGTTCATCATCCGGTGTAAACCTTCAGGTTGTGTACTACACCAGCAAAACCATAGAAGTCCCACTCAGCATTCATCATGGCTAACTGGGCACTGTATGCCCTCTCATTAGTCAACACATCGCTTCCAAATACAATTTTTTCAATAACCTTTGTTGGTTCTTCATCAGAGTGAGCCACACAATGTTTATGTATGTGTTGTAGAATACTAATCATGTCTTCTGATTTGTTCTCACTTTTGTCAAGCAAATCTATTATTCTGTACTCAGATTTCTTACACATTTCATCCATGTATGGGTGCTGAATACAGTCTGGAACAGAGGGCTGAAACCGCTGTAAACACTTTACATACTTGCATAGGATCTTGGTTATATGATATATCATATCATTTTCTAAGGCTAGGCAATCACTTGTATTTGGTATGAAAACACTGTTTGGGACTTTCATTATCTCGGCTTTTGGACAATTATCAGAGAGGTCTGACAAAACTCTCTTACACAAAGCAATATTCAAAAACCAGTGAATGCTTCTTCTCTGTCTTTCTTTTGTCATTGAGGAAGGGGATATTGTTAAATCTAGATTATCTCCAATCACTTCAAATCTCGGTGTAGACTGGGTAAGTACACAAGAGTTTTTGGATATGAAATTCAACGATAAATTTCGTGTGGTCTTGTTTTCTGCTTGTGCATAACTGGAGTCAGTTTTAGGCTGCACACAAAAGAGAGGCCTAACGCCTGGGAATTATATTGCCAATGTCTTATCCAAAGGCACTGCACTTAATCTTGCAGAGGCTAGATATTTAGGTTTTGAATAACTGTCAGATTGTACCATATAATCTTCATGTGTTCCAGCTACTGAATAAGATGGACAGTGAACAAATGACCTACCTGTTTGGTTTAATGTACTGGTAGTTGTCAAAGTTTGCGGCAAGACCACAGGTGGGGGTATTTTCCAGACATGGTAGTATCTGATTCTGGTAGAACCTCCAGACTCTTCTTAATTTTCTGAGTCACATATTCCATTTGGCATTGCTTTACATGGTCTTGGACAATCTGTTTAATTTTCTGCCTCTGACTGATTTCAAAGTCATTCCTCTTCAGAATCATAGACTGGGGTCCACTACACACTCCCATATAGGATAGTACTTTAATGGCCTATAATAAAGACATAAAATTGATAATTTACTAATACTTGTAACTGCGTAATTTTTTTTCATAAATAAATACTTTATACAGTGACTTATATGATATCTAGTTGTGAGATATATTTAATTTTTATCTTCAGTGGTTATCAAATTATATTTATAATGTACCTCATCGGTTGCTCCCCCATGATCTAATATTTGACCTATTAAATGATGGATTGCAGACATGTGTGTATGTTTCGATTTCTAAGCAGAATTCCTGCAGCCACTGCGACCTTGTTTTCATTTGGCTGATTCATCACACATGTCAAGGTTTCCAGTAGAAGGGGAGCATACATTTGACACTCTTGTATGAGACTTCCAAAAGAAAATGACTCCAAATTCTTGGAGGAAATATTGCGCAGCACTGATTTACTGTTCACTTTACACAGAGTTTTGCACTGATTTTCGAGTTCTTTTAATACACATTTCTGTAAACCAGTCTTTAATGATTCAATAGAGTAGAGTTTTTTTGAAATGCTGTTCCCTTTGTCCCCTCTGACAATTGACTTCACCACTGAATGCCATATTCCATCCTTAATAATCCTGGTTCGGACTTTTTCATCCTGTCTGCCTCTAAAGGATACCTAATATAAAATAATACAGATTTGATTAATGCAAAAAGTTGCTTAGGGGGTATAGGATTGCTAAATTGATAAAATTGAAAGAGAACTACAGCTCAATTTTTATGATTTTTTTCCCCAAGAAATAAAAGTAATAACTTTGTGATCTGCTTGACAATATTTTTGACCCATTGAGGTCCAAATCCCCCTGTCCTCTATCATGTCTTTCCTCCTTAATCTGTACATACATGTATGAATTAAATGGACAAACAAAATAATCAGGGATGCAATACAATGTAAAACAATGCAGATTAGGGATTGGATTTTTCAGTCCAAAAATCAACCTAGATTAAAAAAAATACCTTGGCTTTTCCCGGAGACAAATCACAAAGTCTCTTCTTGGTCCTTGAAGGAGGTTTAGAAGGCGGAGAATTTATCCTCAGCAGACATTTCTTGGCTTTCCTTGGTGTGGGTGAATGTAGAATTACCCGCTTTGGGGTGTGAGACCTTTTAGGGGTTTGTATACACGGTATATTTGAAACTGGCCGATCTGCTACTTTCACTGGAGTGTTACTGTTAACATTAACAATGACAATATTGGAAACATTATTTACTGCACTTTTGTGTGATCGTAGATTGTTAAGGATATCATTCCTTTCTTTTCTCAATTGATCTAACTTATGTGTAAGCTCATAGTCAATCTTCAAAAGTTTGTTTAGTTTGTTGAAGCACATATGGCAAACGTAGGGAGATAATCCGTCGGTTTCACGTGGAACATAGCCTAAAACTTCATTAAGTTGTTCGGAACAAAAAAAGGATTTTCCAAATATTAATCTACGATATTTGTTTAAGTTCCTATCATTACATATTCTGCAAGAAGACGACGAGTTAGACATTCCTGTAGCATCCGCATGGGCGCAGCCATTTTTGTTTACATCATTAGTGTTCAGAATGAGAACCGCGTTCTGATTGGCTCCAGGATTGAGACTTGGAACGAATGAAATTCGGAATACAGAGCCCAACTTTTAAATAGCGACTTAGGTCAAGGGTTTGTGTGGAGTTCGAGAAATCACAAACCCTTGACATTGTGAGGATGGCCCAATTCAAGATTTGCACTATTTGAAGGGTGCCTTTTTACATACTCATCCGAGTCAATGCAAGGAGCCCGACGACATTTTAACAAATGATTAAATCCATTCCTCTGGGGAGTTTTGTCGCCTCTACCAGGCAAAAGCCTATTTTTTGTTTATTGTGAATTTTCTTTGTTTTATTTTCTTTGTTCTCCCTTTTATTATTTATAGACAATATATGTATATATAGAAAAACATAATTTCTGTATTCTTTAAAGTTGTGTGATTTTATTTTATTTTTATTTTTATTGTGTATGTTTTGGTTTTTTCTTTATAATAATTTTGTTTTTTAATTGATTAAGCTATCTGAAACACAAGAAGAAACGAGAGGCCCACGGGCCGATTTCAAGACGAATTATCCCATTGTTGGACAATTTAATTTTGATTCCTACGAGTAAGATTTTGAAAAGAAAATGAAAGAACAGGTAGGATAGTTTTTTTTCAAAACACCTACCGTTTTGCAAGATATTTTTAAGACGACGGTATTTAGAATGTTGTCATATTGTTGATAATTATTTCACATGTGCAATGTTTTATAAATTACCTGATAATAAGATGGTTGACGTACAGTATGTTAAATAAATGTTTGATCTAAATACAAAGGTATTTGCAAAATAAGAGATGTAGTGTTCTTAAATTTATGAGACGAAATCTAAAGAGAGAAAAAAAAATTATAAATGAGAAGGGCCTTGAAAGATAGTAGAGGACACCCCGTAAACCATTTGTTAAGGCAAGTTACAAAAATAAAAATGGGATGGGCCTTGAACGATGGTAAAGGAAAACCCTTATACTATTCATTTAGGTTACAGGTTAAGTTAGGACTTAAAAGTCTACCAAACGAGAGGTTTGGGGAGAAAAATTTGAAGGAAAAGTAATCGTCATGGAAGGGATATTGTTATTTTCCATTCTTCCGAAATAATTACGAGAATCATTCCTCCAGTCATAAGTAATACAGACTTAACTGCAATTTTTTTTTCATAAAAGACAAAAGAGTAGAGTGAGCGTCAGATGTAGGACTGTAACACAATAACAGAGTAAATTTAATTTTTTAATTTATTAAATATTATGTTCAATAATACTTTCTTAAATGTTTTTTTAAATCCCGGGTAATGTCACACGTGATTAATTGGTGCCGTGACCAGGATTACGTTATCTTACCTATCACGAACAGATAGTCTCCGCGTCGCCTTAAAGTACAACGACTTACACGACCACTGTAAGTGGCTGTTTTGTTTTACTTTGATAAATTCATGAAAGACGCCCAAGACATGGGCAACGCCTTTGATCTAAGTAGTGCTGTTACGAGTTTGTCGTCTATCCTTTGCCATTAGTTGATGTTTTTTGGCTACTTTAGGTAGAGCAAAATACTTTTCTTGGTTAGATTTCAAATCTGGGTATTAGCAAGTTTCAATGGAATAGTCCGATTGAGAGAAAACCGCATTTACTTGTCACCGCGGACTTTTCCAATTTAATGTTATGCCATTTGGGCTATGCAACGCCACAAATATTCTCACAATTAATGAGCGCAGTTCTTCAGGGATAAGAACACTGTGCAACGGCTTATCTGGATGATGTTCTGATTTATTTAACTTCTCTTGGAGATCATTAGAAACATATTCAAAATGCTTTTGACAGGCTTAGACAACATGGTATAGAATTGAAATTGAAGAAATGTAGTTTTTTAAAACAAGAAACAAAATATCTGGGCTTTGTAATCAATGAAAATGGAATTAAACCAGATGAGGACAAAGTTAAGGCTATTCTGCACGTGCCAACTCCAAATTGTGTCAAAGAAGTTTCATTGGGATGTGGAGTTATTATAGACGATTTATTCTAAATTTCTCTGAAATTGCAGCTCCTCTCATTGATTTGACTAAAAAATATGCAAAATTTAGTGGAATGAAGCCTGTCAAAGGGGGTTTGAAAAGCCAATTTATTATCTTTCAAACAAGCTAAGTGATACACAAACGCGATGGTCGACAACTGAAAAAGAAGCTTATGTAATGTATTATGCTTTACAGAAAATAGATCACTACCTGGTATTTACATAGTTCTAAATTTGTAATCAGAACTGATCATAAACCGTTTAAGTATCTATTAGAGGCTCCGATGATAAACAGAAAAATTCAACTTTGGGCTCTAAGTATAACAGGATACAATTGTTAATTTGAATATACATGTATTGCTAGAACAGGAAATACATGCGCAGTTCTACTATCTAGATTTAATTACCAGAAAACGCTGATAAAAATGACAAGAGGCCCAAGGGCCTTGAATCGCTCTTCTGATAAATTGTACAACCTATCACTTGTATTTGAAGCCTCTAACCCTAAGTATCCTATTAAAGACCCAAGTTGCATCACCTGACAAAGTTTGATGATTCTTAGCCAATTAGAACTACTTTTTGGTCTACATTCTTGGAAATCACAAAATGCATCAAGTGACAAAGTTTGATTATTCTAAGCCAATAAATACCTAAGATACTTAAATATACCCATAAAATGTCGAAAGTAGGTCATCGTGACCTACATTTTAGTCGACATTTTTCAGAGTTCCAAGATGCATCTGCTGACTAAGTTTGATAATTCTAAGCCAATAAATACCTGAGATATTCAAAAGTAGGTCACTGTGACCTACTCTTTGGTCAACATTCTCAGAAAACCCAAGATGCATCAACTGACAAAGTATGATGATTCTTAACCAATAAGTACCAGAGATACTTAAATATAGCCATAAAATGTCGAAAGTAGGTCATCGTGACCTACATTTTGGTTGACATTTTTAAGAGTCCCAAGATGCATCTGCTGACCAAGTTTGATAATTCTAAGCCAATAAATACCTGAGATATTCAAAAGTAGGTCACCATGACCTACTTTTAGGTCGACATTCTCCGAAAATTCAAGATGCATCAACTGACAAAGTATGATGATTCTAAATCGATAAGTACTAAAGATAGATAAATTAGCCATAAAATGTCAAAAAGTAGGTCACCGTGACCTACTTTTTGGTCGACATTCTCCGAAAACCCAAGATGCATCAACTGACAAAGTTTGATGATTCTAAGCCAATAAGTACCGGAGATACTTAAATATAGCCATAAAATGTCGAAAGTAGGTCACTGTGACCTAATTTTTGGTTGTCACTATCCGAAAACCCAAGATGCATCAACTCACAAAGTTTGATGATTCTAAGCCAATAAATACCTAAGATACTTAAATATAGCCATAAAATGTCGAAAGTAGGTCACTGTGACCTAATTTTTGGTTGTCACTATCCGAAAACCCAAGATGCATCAACTCACAAAGTTTGATGATTCTAAGCCAATAAATACCTAAGATACTTAAATATAGCCATAAAATGTCGAAAGTAGGTCACCGTGACCTACATTTTGGTCGACATTTTTCAGAGTCCCAAGATGCATCTCCTGACCAAGTTTGATGATCATAGGTTTGAAGGTAATCAAAATATGCCTTTTAAACAATTTGAAAACAAATGCCTGCAAAATTCTAAAAGTAGGTCACAGTGACCTACTTTTTCTTAAATATGTTTTAAGGTACCATGATGCAGCAACTTACAAGATTTGATGATTCTAACCCTTTCAGTGCCTGAAATAATGGGATTAAATGTTTTGAAAAGGATAAGTCATAAAGTTCAAAAGTAGGTCACGGTGACCTACTTTTAAGTTGACTTTGTTCAAGGACCCAAGATGCATCAACCGACTAAGTTTGATGAAAATAGGCCTTAAAGTATCCAAAATATGCCTTTAAATCAATTTGAAAACAAATGCCCGCAAAATTTAGAAAGTAGGTCACCGTGACCTACTTTTGAGTTAACATGTTGTGAAGTCCTAATATGCATTTACTTACAAGATTTGATGATCCTAGTCCTTATAGTAAGCAAAATATGAACATTTTTATTAATTGTAAATTTAGGTCAAATTTAAAGTGACCTTGAGACCACGCCCTTTGCCCCAGGGTCATGCCTTGAACAATTTTTACATCTTCAACATATCCTGATCCTTGTATGTAAGTTTGGTGAAAATCTGCCTGGTGGTTCTGGAGAAGAAGATTTTTTAGCAACCAGTACTTTTTGTTTTGTTTTCCTGATTATCTCCCCTTGATTCAGGGTCCCAACCCTTATTTTAGTATAAATGGTAGCCCTTGGGCCAAGGATACCCTGTGACAAATTTGACACTGATTGGCCAAGGGGTTCTTGAGTTATAGCCCATATTCTAAAAAGTTAACGCACACCGCACGACGCACACCGCACAAATGGCCATAGCATTAGCTCTTTGAGCCTTTGGCTCAGAAGAGCTAAAAATGGAAAATTTGAAGAACCAGACATTACTGATAAAGCTTATGAAATAAGTTTTCTGGATTCAACTTCATTTGAACCGAAACGTTATGCAAGTTTCGAACTTGAACGACCAGATTTACCGTTTAAGCGTGACCTTGAGTTGTCAAAAGATAAAAATGTAGATATGATCTTAGAATAAAGTAAAGAACCTGAAAGTTTTAGCTTAAAAATAACAACTTACAAGGAAAAGCTGATAGAGCAACACTACGTAAACAGGTCCAGTCCAAAGACTTTTTTCTACCTACGTA